GGAGGAGATGGGGAGGTGGAGGGATGCCGAAAGAATTGACACTGGGACGGTGCAATGAGAGCTGCTTTTATAGACTCGTAATGATGATTGACAGGACTGAATGATTATGCTCCTCCTGAACCTACGTTTAGAACTTCATTTTTTTGTCATAATTTCGACTCGTGTCACAACAGTGACTTTTTATCTCATAACTTTTACCTTTTATGACTTACCAACAATTTTTTGGAAGAAACAGACTTCCATAGATAACAGAAGTATCTAGCAGAAGTCCATCAGGACGGGGAGGCGGGTGAGTGGTTGAAGGATGGTTATGCTTTCAAATGCAGCAGAATGTTTAAACTCAAGGACACCAGAGCCTGTGTGTTTTTAGTTTGTATTGCGTTCTGGCAGACAGCCCCTGCAATGTGTGTTGAGGTGAGCCGTGCTGTGCTGCTGTGGACCAGCAGGCCAAAGGCTGCAGGAGGAACAGGCTGAAGCTCAGCAGGACCCATATGGCCTTCTGGAGATGAGCCTCAGCTATGTGGCACAAGAGGAAAACATACACACAGGTGTGTTCCAATCTGATCATACCACAGAATCAACAAATCCAAAGGCAGATTCATATATACAAATATTTTCTCTAGTTTATAAACACCCACTCATTCAAACACTGCCAAAGCTAAGAAATGCTTGATGTTTACTGCTGAGCTGAAACTGTCCTGCTTATTTGATTTAGATAAATCTAATGAGCATGTGCAAGCTCATCTTTAATCAAAGATGATGGTTTGTTTTATTCAGTTTTAAAGCGCAGGCCATATGGGTTTTTGAAAAATATCTCTTTTGCAGTTTATAACGTAGCTATCCTTAAATGAAAACAATCTGCAAAGTTGTTAATCAAAAAAGTGCATGATAAATAAAGATATTGTCTCTCAAAAGAGAGAGTCGATTCTGAATCTTCTTAACGAGTCGTCATATTTTCGAATCTTCTGCCTGTTACCGGTATACGTCACTGGGTAACACATTTGCATAATCCCCGCTTGACTGCCCAGTCTGACCTGCCCACAAACACTTCCGCTAGTTATGTGTTTACATCATGTTGAGAAGACGCTGTGTTCAAGGATACCACAGAAATACAATTCAATCCTTTTGTTGTGTGCTTGTCATTTTACCAAGGACTGCTTCTCTTATCTTGGCTTTTATCTTCGTTGGCTTCTAATCTTCTTAATTTGGACTACCAAGCTCTCCGAACCACAACCTGTAAGTACGATTGATACGTTATGTGTACATTTTCAATTGAGTTCTCAAAATATCAAGTTTTTGTGCTAATATGTGATGTATACCTAGTGCAGCTTTAGGTTTCCAGGTAAAGCACGATATCACTGTTTTACTGAAGTACTTCTGATAATTCGCTGTGAACCCACTATTTCCTAAGAATGTGTCGATTAATGTAGACTGACGTTGTTCTAATTACTTCGTTTAATAATAAAGAATGTAGTATAGCACACAGACTTTAATCGTTGTGAAATTGCTGTTTATTTTGCTGCACTGGCAGTTATAGGGTTTAAAGCGGGAGCGACGAGCGAGTTAGGCTGGTGCGCCTGTGATACAGCTGTTCTGTGTTCTGATTAAAAGTTAAGACGGACCGTCTTTTGTCTGTCGTTCTTCAAACATTACAGTATAGACATATTTTGGTTCACAAACTGTATTGCTTCATCAGTTAGTCACGTTAGCACTCGGCTAATGTATCCACCATGATTGTTTTAAGTGTTGAGTTTAGCAGCTAAATTTTAGCTGTGGGCACGATTCGCTTGCATAAATGTTTTTGTATTTTATGTCATTATTATAAGAATGGATTGGAGCACTATATTATTGTTCTATGTAAAGGTGCTTTGTCAATGGTAGCGCTCGCTCACTGTTGCCAACTAATTTTCAGGGGAAGTTGCTAAAGGAAGGTCGATTTGTTGCTAAAAGTTGCTAAATGACGTTGTGACGTCATTACGTAATCACGACACAAAAATTGTCACATCAAAGCTCAGTAAAAAATATATTTTTATGTTAATTTAGATTTGTTCGTAAAATAATATAAATTCATAATATAATGTTAAAATATAAATAACTTGTTATATACAACATTGAATTATTGAACGAACGCTTACACATTTTTGAAGGATTACAAGTTTTTTTATTAGCTAGTGAACTAGTAAAACTACACACTCTGACCAATTAGTTTATTGTCACATCAAAGCTCAGTAAAAAATATATTTTTGTTAATTTAGATTTGTTCGTAAAATAATATAAATTCATAATATAATGTTAAAATATAAATAACTTTTTTATATACAACATTGAATTATTGAACACTTACACATTTTTGAACGATTGCAAGTTTTTTTATTAGCTAGTAAACTAGTAAAACTACACATTCTGAACAATTATGGTTTTAAGCAGACAGGTACAACAATGTGTGTCATAAATGAACAGTTATTCAATTATCATCATCATCAAATTGAACAATTCCAAATAGCAATAATTTAATTCACGTGATGTGTGTACTGCTAGGTATCTTTGGTTTCCTCTTTTTGTGAAATTTAGATGGAAAATGTGTGCCTTTTATTATTCGAGTCACATCAAAAGTTGCTTAAATTTAAAAATAGCAAAATTTGTTGCTAGGTGCTTTAGGAAGAAAAAGTTGCTAGGGTAGTCTGAAAAGTTGTTAAATTTAGCAACAAAATTGCTAAATCGGCAACACTGCCCTAGCTAACTTGCTCAAGGACTCCTTTCTGTGCCAATCACAACAGGTTTGGCCAGCTGACCAATCAGAGCAGAGCAGGCTTATGGAAGGGAGGGGTTTGCTCCGAACTTGCTTGAAACGAATCGTTTCGAAATCATTGGCAAATGACTCTAATATTAAATGTATATTCTGAGACAATTACAATGTTTTCTGACCTTAGATGCATTTAAACCTGTTGTAGGGGACTCCAACACAATATTAGGACACTGTAAAATACCATATGACCTGCTCTTTCACTTTTTGTGAAATTTAGATGGAAAATGTGTGCCTTTTATTATTCGAGTCACTTATCAAAAGTTGCTTAAATTTAAAAATAGCTAAATTTGTTGCTAGGTGCTTTTGGAAGAAAAAGTTGCTAGGGTAGTCTGAAAAGTTGTTAAATTTAGCAACAAAATTGCTAAATCGGCAACACTGCCCTAGCTAACTTGCTCAAGGACTCCTTTCTGTGCCAATCACAACAGGTTTGGCCAGCTGACCAATCAGAGCAGAGCAGGCTTATGGAAGGGAGGGGTTTGCTCCGAACTTGCTTGAAACGAATCGTTTCGAAATCATTGGCAAATGACTCTAATATTAAATGTATATTCTGAGACAATTACAATGTTTTCTGACCTTAGATGCATTTAAAACCTGTTGTAGGGGACTCCGACACAATATTAGGACACTTGAAAAACCCATATTCTCAGATCCAGCTTTTCCTCATCTATATTCCTACTATATTTTAAACTAAATATTAAATTACAACAGCAGTGCCCAATCCTGTTCCTGGAGATCTATCCTCCTACGAAGCTCAGTTCCAGCCCTAATCAAACCTGCTAAAGAAGTACTGTTTTCTTACTCAACATATTTACTGTATTTGGTCCAAGAGTTTTAACTATGCATGAAGACAGCAGGTGTGTGTACTTCAAAATAAATAAATAAAAATGAGAAAGAGTAAATGTATATGACGTGCATACATGAACAGATGTATCCTGTTATTGACAGATATTTAATATTAATGTATTTAGAGCATAAAAAGGTAGAACTCCAAGAACAGGACTAGACACACCTGGATTAAAATGTGCATAATGAAATATTGGGGTGGGTGGGTGTATATATATATATATCTACAATGGCACCAATAAGTGAAAGGCTCACTTTGAAGTGGTACCACACCCACACCACTAGATGTCAGTACAAGTACAAACAACCATTTAATTCAGACATTCAAACTATTTACAGTACACCTTGCACTGTGGAATAGATGTATGGTATTCCTAGCAGTGCAGTAACGGCCATTAAGATCATGGGCCAAAAAACACAACTCAATCTCCAGTCGATGTATGAAAACTGAGTGCTGAGGGAGGCACACAAGATTCTAAATGACACAACACGCAATCTGATCCTAGAATGTGAAATGTTGCCAATAAGCCAGTTTAGTAATTCATTCATCTGCAATAACGATATTAAATACCATTAAGAGACTTAACACAAGGTCTTTATTTTTGTGACAATACATTTGTGTTAATTGTGAGTTATGTGATGCAGGGGCCTCTTCTTCTAAGCCCAAGATACATTTCTCCCTTGGGACAATATACTTTACCTTAAACTAAGAGCCCATCCCAACACCTACTATATGGGTACTAAAATGACATGAACCCTTCTAGATTTTCAGTATTTCTAAATGTCTGTTGAGTACTCCCTATGTAACAGATTACACAATTTTGTATTTGTGATGCTTTGAATTAAGTGATAAAAAGGGAGTTGTCAGTTTCATGAAACCCATCTCTGCACCAATAAAAAAAAAAAATGCAACACGTGGCTGCCAGATCATATAGGATATCAAATTAAATTAATACTGGAAAAGTTTCTTAACATTACGCTATTCCAGAGCACCCAAGTTCCTGAAAATGATGAATGATTGGATACACTGGGCCTCAAATAGCACTATGAAGCAGTATTAGGGATAGTGTGGATTTAGTGTGCTTTTAGCTCTGGCATTTATCAGATCTGGGGCAGTCTTGCACACTTGTCACATGTACACACACTCAAGAGCACAAGTGTGGGTATAGAGACAAGTCTAATAGATACTTTTTATTTTATTCAAATAAAAGGTATCACCAATTATATTTCAGAGCACCTGCATTTGCAACAAAACACCCTTTTAGTCTTTTCACTTCATAGGTTTCAACAAAAGACAAGATTCGCTGTAGTTGTAAATAACCTTTTATTTGAAACCAAGGCATTTGCTAGTCTGTTGACTTAGCTGCTGCTCTGTTTGGCAGCCAGTCTCTTGTCTCTCTCCTCAGCAATGGTCAGGCGGATACCCTTTCCACGAGGCAGGGACACCCATGGCTTATTGCCCTGATAACAGAGACATAGTATTAGCACAACTATTAACTTAAAATACTCTAAAATAAGTTTTTTTTTCTAAATCTGCAAAAATGACAACAAAAAAAACACCTCTTAGCATATAATGGTAATGTTTTTCAGGATGCCATTTATGTAGGACTTCAAAAGTCAACTGCTTGCTAAAAGCCCATATTAAACAACAGAGAGCAAAATTTTAAATCTTAAATGTGCTTACCTTGCCGATGACGAAGATGTTGGAGAGTCTGGTGGCAAAGCTGTTGCCAGTGCTGTCTTTAACATGCACCACATCAAAAGATCCAGGATGCTTCTCTCTATTGGTGATCACACCAATACGCCCCAAATTAGCACCTCCGGTCACCATGCACATGTTGCCTATTTACACACAGAAAAAAATAAAAAAAAAGTCAACAAGTGATGTGCAACTCAAAACAAAAGAAAATACGATAGTTTAAGACTATATGCTCACCAACCTGTCTCAAATTTGATGAAATCTGTAATTTTGCCAGTGTCCAGGTCAATGCGGACGGTGTCGTTGACCTTGATCAGAGGATCAGGGTAACGGATGGTGCGGGCGTCATGGGTCACCAGATGTGGGATTCCCTTTGTGCCGATGAGGGTTTTCCTCACCTTGCACAATTTGTACTAAAACAGGACAAAAGGATTAGCTCAAAAAAATCTGCAGTCTCAAATTAAACTGATGTAATCCTGTCATACCATCCATTACTTGTCATGTATAAGAATATTAAGCTCACCTTGGCCTCCTCGTTTGTGATGCGGTGAACTGTGAAGCGTCCCTTGACATCATAGATCAGCCTGAAGTTCTCACTGGTCTTCTCAATGCTGACCACATCTGAAAGAACGACAGCACAACATTTCATTAACATGACCATAAGATCGCCACTTCAGCTTATGTTTTATAACATCCTGATAAACAGCCTGCCGCATCACCTGAGATGGAAAATCAGTCACAGCAGATTAATATCCTGTTGGCACCTAATAGGCAAGTATGGGTGCACAGTGGAAACGCTATGAGAAGGAGAGTGTTATAACAACACTGAGGGATTAGTCACTCAATGTGACGATTGCGGTTCAACCATCTGGTAAGATTCAGTTTGCACGCGCAATTGTGAGTGCCAGTGCAGACTGCAGAGACTTGGAAAGACTAGATTGTCTTATTGTATTGAATGCAATACACTCGGCAGACAACCATATGACTGATTATTTAAGAGTGTGACTAAATAATAAACCACACATTTCTAATCATTACTTAGCAGAACTTTTACATTTCAGATATA